CGGACGTGGCTACATCGAGATTACACGCTCGCGTGATACCGGCCACGAGGATCTTTAATGAGACAAAATCGCGTAGAAGGGATCAAACGTTCCTCGACTACTTTACAATTTATAAGGAAACAGTTTGAGTGTGTTGAGTGAAAATTAAATAAAAATTGGAAGGAAAACTCGAAAAGGTCTATCATTTAATATTTAAAAATTAAGAATTGCAGGAACCACATTAAATATTTTTAATACTGACGGTTAATTTGATATTTAAAAATCAAGAATTACAGTATTATTGAACGTGGAAGATCAATCGATATTCCATAACAACGAAAACTATTTCTAACACTAACATATGAAGAAGTGAAGAGATAAGAGAAGCGAGGCAAAATTGTTTGGAACGTAGAATTATGTTTGGAAACCGGGCGGAAACTCGCGAATCGTCCCGGTAGCCCGGGAGGGTTCCAGTTTAGGAATGAAGACGATAACGACCGTCGGAGTTTTCCGGGAGGACAATAAAAAACTGAAAAGAGAGACCGAGTCGAAGAGAAAGAAGCTTGCAGGCGCGGCGGAGGAGAAATATTTTTCCTAGCTCTCTCTCTTCGAGAGTCGTTTGAGACACAAAGTCGGGCGGGAAGAAAAAACAGAAATGTCGACGGAAGAGGACGGAGGAACCAGCGTTCGTGAGCTTATTCTACCGGGTGTTTCACACACCATTTATTTATTAATTCTATTAACGAAGTTCGTTTGAATTACTAAATTACTTTCGATACATCACAGTTACTTAAGTCATTTAATTACCTTAGTTGCTTTTAATAATTATTCAGTTCTGTATTTCTCATTGAAAATTTTTGAAAGGGCCGAATTTTGGAGAACACCCTGTATTATCCGTAAGCAAGAACTCGTCAGAGTCTTTACGACATGTGACAGGCGCTCGCCTATACTTGTTCTACTTTAATAACAAGAAAGAGGTTTCTCTACATCATTGTACTCCGGTTACAGACGAAGTAATAATGGTCGGGAATTCTGGGTGAGTGAGCGAGAAAGATACTCTTTAAAGAACGCGGTTCCTTTCTCGACGACACGTAATGGAATTAACAAATGATTAATTAAACTATTTACAAATCTCTGACGAAACAAAGATTCAATATAAAAAATACAATAAAATATCTTGTTCGTATAAAACAATAAATTGTTCTCTTACTTTTATTTTTTAAAGGGCTCCAATATCATTGTGGAGAGCATTGTTGCCAGGATTGGCGCGTGTAAACGATTTCAAATGTGGTTAATTAGAAAAATTTCATCAGGGAACAATTAAATCGATCAGATCGAACGTGGAACTCGGTCATATCGAGCGGCTGGTGGCCGTTATCTGAGTCAGTACGTTGATGCAAGCGTTCACGCTGGAGGCTCATAGCGAAGCGATCAACTCCGACATTGCTGATACACGTGTACTATACACGGAAGATAGGGAGGGTGGAGCTTGTACGTGATTCAAATCTAGATCCGATCCTATCTCGGTTCTAGAGGCCAAGAGTACTACGCTATTGGCCAAGAGGAATCCTTGGCGAGCCTCGTCCATCCTGCTCTAACTTTATAACTCTCTCGTTTGGCTCGCCGTCTCTCTTCTTTTCGCTTTGGAAATAGTATCTCGGCTCTGCCTATGCGAAGAAGCTTTCGAGCCAGCGCGCGGGTGAACGCCGGTCGCAAGTTTTGTATTTTCGTCTTTGCGCCTCTTCCCACCTGGTTTGATTCCGTTCACGGAATCTTGAGAAGCCGTGGTTTTATTGGTTCTCTTCTTTTTTCTCCCTTAAGACTGAAAGCTTCCAGCATTTCGGCACTCGCGTATCTTTTTATTTCAAAGAATATTCTGATATAAACGCGATTCTGATACTTGACTCTTGACCTGATTTTTTTTTTTTTTTTTTTTGAGGAACGGAGCGAGGATGTAATAAAAACGTAGGTGTCTTCGCTATTTAAAAGGCCTGACGTTGGCGGCTAATCCAAAATCGATCGGCTCGAATCAAGGGCGAGAGACGAAGCTCGGCACGGCGCGGCACGGCACGGGACGGGAAACGAACGTTAGAGAAGCGGCGTCATGAGTCTCCGTTAATGGAATGCGTTTCTCGCGTTAAGGGGACGCGTCCATAAAGGGGTGGGAAGAGGACACGGTGTGTGCGTCTTTCGAGTGGCATTAATAGGTCTTTGTTTCGTCGGAGGAGGATGCCCCGGCAGCACGTCGAGTCTATTATTCGAATGTGGAGCAGATATCGGTTGTCGATACGCCACGGGTCTAAATATTCGATCGATTCCACACACATACACACGCGCCCTCCCCCAACGTTTCCCAACCCCCGGCGCGGTAGGTTTGTGTTCTCAGACACCGGTCTTACGTGCCTCCACCTTTTCCTTTTCAGGCTATCGTTATCGCAAATTCCAACTTGCAATAATGAACTTTCCCACCGTGATCGATAGGTAGAGGCAACTTCGAATTTCGCGTGGAATTGCCTGGCCAACTCGTTGGTACGCGCCGGCAAGAAAGTTGAAAAGAAATCACGATTATTTTCATGAAAACCTGCCACTCAAAGTTTAACAAGAATTTTTCTATAAATACATCAAATTATTGTTACATTTACTATAACAACAAACAAGATAAAAAAAGTTATTAGCAGGAAGTTCAAAAGGTTCACTTGTAATTTTATATGAATGAAAATCTACAGCCCGATCGAAACTGAGAAATGATTTACTGGTCGTTTTGGCAGATCTAAAGTTGGTAGAAAGTTTAAGGAACTGATTTCTGAGCGGTGGCGGTGCTCGTGGTGGAAGTTACTGTACCGAATGGAAGAAAGAAGATTAAAGGATTCCCAGCGAGGAAGATGGGGTGCAGGATTATTTAGCTACTCGAGTCCACTTTTGATCCATTCGTTAAATGAAATTCGGCCTCTTATAAAGGAATCTCAGGATTCTAAAACCCGTAAAACGTGTACTACAACCGATCCTCGAGATCCGACAAGTTCTTAAGAAACGACGGAAAACAATAAAAGGATAAAAAGCGACATTCGTTATGAACAAGGATTCGTTATTGACAGTATATTTTATTATTCCCTCTTAACTGATTTAAGGACTCATTAAAACGAGATGCGAAGACTAAAGGTTAATGCCGTATGAATAAAACATTCCCAAGGACGATTCAAATACATTTTTTTTTTTCCTCGATTCTCCTCAACAAATTTCCACCAATTGTTTTAAGAATTAATGATGAATTTAAAATTGATTGGATAAGACCGAAGGTCTATCTACTCTGTTCGTTTTATCAAGTCTACGGTAATGAGTTTCGCAGGGATTATCAATACGTGTCTATCAAAAACGGTATCCGACGTCGATAAATGCGACGCGTCGACTACATGGAAATAGTCGGTTAGATATACTTTAATTTACCAGCCGTATTCTCATTCAATAAATCGACTTCGTGGTGTAAATTCCAATATAGAATAATGATTTTGTAACATATCCCTAGACTCATATTTATTTCCTAACTAAAATCCATTAATCCGATGCAAAATCAAACTAGAGTTTTAATTGACTGATAATTCTTCAACAATAAATGTAAAACTCCATGAATAATATTAAACGAAAAAGAAGCTCGTTTAATTATTTTTATTGAAACAATTAACAATCTCAATTCATAAAATGTCTGACTAGGTAACGCAAGTCACAATAATGTAAATGTCTGACGTCTGACTAGGTAACGCATGTATCTCCTTATTTCGAATATCGTCTATGCTCTGCTTATACATCAATTTAATTTTGCATATTTTGCATTTCCATCGGTCTGACGGACAGAAGAGGCAAACGAGGAAAAGTTTGCAATAACCGGAGAAAGCGAGGGGGCGGAATAAAGCTCATTTCAATTATTCACGTCCCTGGCTAACGACCGAAGAAAAACGACAAGCGCGGATCGGTTGAATAAATAAAAACAGAGGATTCTTCGATAATTCCTCGTCCCCTTAACGACTTGGCTCGAGACTGCCGGCAAACAGAAAATGAGAAACATGTTCCCTTCGCGTATTCTTCCCCTTGTTCATGCGTCGCGCTTTTAATCGCGTTCCCTCACTACCCAGGGTAACCGCGGCTTTTAACCCGTTCCGCGAGTAATCGCCGATAATCCCGTGGATGGTCGCGTATCGCGACAACGATCCATCTCTCGCTGATCCGCGATACTCCGACGAAATCGAACCAGGGTAAAAAAATTCTCTTTCGGTTTTGGTTTTCATCGATCTCTCATCTCTCTTCTACGATCAACGAAACTGATTCGTTTGTTTAAATCACATACTTGATGCTAAATGATCTAATAGATTTTATTCTCTTACGTACATGTAAATGATTGCATTTTTGCAATTTTTACAACCACAGAAATAATTGCAAGCTTCAATGACAATTACTGTTTCGAATGATCTCCTGTATTTTTAATTCTGTTATTCTCGTTCTTTGGAAACATGGGAACGATTGCAAACTCGTAGCCGATAGTGTTCAACCTGGGAAGCCTGCCCCGGCAATTAACGGGTTACGCGTTCAGATTTATGACGGTTGATCGATCATCGATCAGAGCGTCGACTCGCTGCTAATTAGGAGACAGCCGCGTTTTCCCGGTGAGAATCGGAAATTCGTAACTCGATTTCACTGGCAAACGTGTTCTAAGCACCTACCTCGGTCAGGGAATCACCGGGTGTCTGACAGATGCGTTTGCAATTGTTTATCAGGTTAAAAGCCAGTTGCAGAATACAATGTAAATTAACAATGTATGTACATATAACGTTAAACAGAAAATAATACAGTGTAAATGAAAAGGAATTCAGGATTATGGATATAGCTATAGAATCTCACAATTTGATTTTATATTGATTTTAAATTCGCAAGAATTAAATATAGACGTAAAAGTGATTCTAAGTTCGTGGCCAGTTCGTCTAATTGCCAGTGAGTAATGAATTAAAATACAAAACAGAGGATGTGCTTACCATTTTCAACGTAGTAGCTCGTTTCGTTGTACCGTTCATCTGTGAATCCCGGCCTCTTCGCTTTTAAAGCTTTTGTTTCCAATTTCGCCTGAAATAAAAAACCACATATGTACATATCTGTCTTCATTTATCAAAAATCACTCTTCTATTAAAATCGTTGAAACAATTTTCCGGATGATAATTCTATTAATGAAGAATGTAAAAGCACCGGTGTTTCCATGGGTGAAGCAAAATTTATGCGGGTTACGAACATTAAAAAGAACGCGAGGTTTGAAAGTAGTGCAACGTAACGTAACGAACGAAACGAGCCGGAGGAATCAAAGTAGAAACGGGGGAAATTTCAGGCCGGAAAAAAAAAAAACGTCGCCTTCAAAATCCAAAAACGGACGGAGGATAAAAACAAACGAGGAAAACACACACAGAGAGAATCGCGACGCGTCGCGAGCATTTCCGGCTCGAAGCAGCGCGACCGCGACACGGTGGCTAGCTGACAAAACGCGTAGCGGAACGGAACAATCTTCCCTTTGTTTTCCGTGAACCGTAGCAAAGCGATGCTCCGCGCTACGTTTCCACGGTTTCCCAGTATCCCCCAAATAAATTTACCCCCCACGCTAATTCTCTATCAATGATCTCCGACACACTCTCACTTGTGAAACGATTCTTGAATAAGTCGTTATTCTTCAATAATAAAATCGGTCGTCTAATATTTTATTACTTTTGCTCTCTCATGAAGTCCAGTCTAATAATAAAGAATATAACTTCTTATATTTTATTGCTGTTTCTTATTTATTTTCTTGGAAATAAGGTTACGATTATTAAATGAGATATCTATTTGCATGTATTTATAGAAACATATTATATTTTTTTAATCACGTAGCTCACCGTCAACGGTATTACGAAAAAAATAATACAGATGATATTACGACTTAGCATTCATCCCGGCTCTTGCGTTTCACGAAATCCATTAAAAGGACCAGACGAATTAATTTAGAATTTTCCCTCGACGCTCGCACCGTAATCCTAAAGCCTGGTTCGCGGCAGCTTCGTTTAATATGCATAATTAATTAACGTTTAACCAAACCCAATTTGGTTCATCCAGTTTAAAAAAAAAAAAGCCGAAGATACTTGGGTATATTTTATTGAATCTCTGCTTCGTTAACCGATATGCATGCACGATATCCGGGTAACCTGATTTCCAGATAAAATGTAACATCAGGTGAGAAGCGAAAACAAAAATTCAATGTTCCAATTTAAAATATGAAATTAACAAATATTTAATTGTTTATCAGAAATTAATTTGTAAAGAAAATAATAACGAGAGCAATTGAGAAAAATGCATTTTTTCAACTGTTATAAATTTGTTGTTTTACATAAATATTCTCACTCCGATTATAACATTATTAAAAGCGATTTTATTTCTGCGAATTTGAAACAGCGAAGAAACGAAGCACTTCGATTTGATTACAGATAATGTTACCGATTTTGGTCCTGAAAGATTGTTTGCTTGTCGCGCGAATTCGATGTTACGCGGCGGGCTAATCGGATTTACATGGTCGATGTTTCGGCTAATTATTGTCTTAATTAAAACGCGAGCGCGCACGCGTGTCAGAGAGGACCCGGTCTCGAGCGACGAGCGCGGGGAATATTAGGATCCATTAATGTAATGCGCCGTTTGTTCCATTAAAATCGTGAATCCGGCCCTGCCAACGTTTAATTACCCCTCGCTGATTAACAGATATTAAAACGAGCGTCAACCATAATTTTCTCGCGCGAAACCCCATCTAATGGCTACTGATCAAATGGTTTAATCGATATTTACAGTTGTCTCTCATTATTATGTGAACTGTCGCCCTTTCGTTTGATTCATATGAAGATTACAAAATATTTTCAATTTTGCAGTCGTTATACGATACTTACTCTTTGCTACGACGATTTAATATTAATAAAAAAAAAATTCTGAAGGCCTCGCCACTGATATTTCAGTCATCTGGCAAAAGGACTAAAGCACGTTGAATCGTGAAATAAAGCAACAATGTCCGAGTGGAAGTTTGCGGCGGCAAATAAACGGAAAGAAATCGTTGGACTGGTGGATGGATGATGTAAAAAAGGAGAGCAAGAAACCAGCGACCCTGCGTCCTCGTTCCACACGTCCACCCACTCGCCGACACGGCCGACTTATGTTTCCATCTGCACGAATTTTCGCGCCACTCTACTCCCGTGTTCTGGACTTTCGGCTGTATCGACCGGCCCCCGAGCCACCCCCGTCGACCCGACCAGCCCTCGACCATCCCCTGCCGCCGCCCCAGTCACGCTTTCTGTCTACAAGTCAATGTCTCCTTTATACATCGACCACGCGCCCTCCGGCTTTATATTCTCCTTACGGATTCCACCACCGGCACCTTTCGTCATTTTTCAATCCCTCTCCCACCGTTTCAATCAGATTTACTTCAATGTTCTTCTTCTTACATTATTACATACATGTAACGAATCGTCACGATCGCGATTTAAATCGTACTTTGATACATCGTATAGCTTTGATAAATAGAGATATTGATATTGGTACACGTACAGTTATGCCATGGACCCAAATAGATTAGTGTCACACAGAGATTTTTGAAAGATTTAAATTTGGTTCCTATGTTATTTTTCTGGATAGTGTAAAATATTTAAAATCTTTTACAAGTTTTCTATTTTTTTCATTTTTGACCAAGTGCTTAATCCGACCACCGTACGAGCCTTTGTCGGATTTTCCGTACGCGTATTTACAATCCGACTCCCATTCTTTCCCCAATGCACTTTTTACGATCCCACCGGAATTTGTATTAAAAAATCGCGAACGAAAGGATTGTTAAATTTGTATACGTTTTAATAATCCTCTGCGGGCTCCGAGAAAGTTCGATGAAAAACCTGAGCTACAAAAAGAGGGTATCATACGTTCTAAGAAGGCATCAAAGTCACTGGAAGCTTTCCAGTTCTCCAGGAATTACTTTTTCTGTCCCTCCTCGAACCCGCCGCCCGTCCCCGGGTTTCTTTCTCAAAGGTTCCACCGAAATCTTTGCCCCGACATCCTGCCATTTAGGCGCGTCCTCGAGCCTCCTTTTCTTCGCCGAGCTTCCTTTCAACCGTGAAAGGACAAAGTTCCTCTCCCTAACAAGCTCAAATACCAAGTTTATCGAACCCTTAAAAATACCTTCGATCATCCAACGATCCCCTCGCCAATTTTATTGCACGTTTATCGATAAACTGTTGAATCTCACACAAAATCAAATGAAAAATTTATTTT